CATTTGACACTAGATAGGATGACTTCCACAGTATACTCATAGACAGGGCTTGTCTAGGGTAGCAATGTCCAATGGAAATGCAAAGTAAACTTTAAATTTTTGGGTAGTTATATTTTTAATGTAAAAATAAAATAAGTAAAGCTATATTTAACTATACATTAAAATATAATTTGAGCCGGGCGGTAGTAGCATATGCCTTTAATCCCAGCACTTGGGAGGCAGAGGCAGGCAGATCTCTATGAGTTCGAGACCAGTCTGGTCTACAAGAGCTAGTTCCAGGACAGCCTCCAAAGCCACAGAGAAACTCTGTCTCAAATATATATATATTTCATATATAATATATGTATATATATTATATATGAAATCCATTTAAAATTATAAAAAGTCATCTAAGGGATTTCTTTGTGTGTGTGCCATAGTGCCTGTGTGAACATGAGAGAACCACTTTGTGGAGCTGGTCCTCTCCTTCCATCTTTATTTGGGTTCTGAGGATCTAACTCGGGGGTTGTCTGGCTAGCTTTTCCCACTGAGCCACCTTGCCACCCGTCCCCTGGGAATTGTTACTATTCAGTTAGAAAAAAATATAGTTTGCAAAGCAGTCAGAATGTCTAAATAGGAACATTGTGGAAGCTGGCATACAAATGACCAAAAACATTTAAAATATGCTCAGCTTTGTTCACAATTATGGCAATGCAAATTCAAACCACTGTAGGAATGATATCTGGGTATAATCTAATACTCAGACTTTAAAAAGGAAATGAAAAAGCAATCATAGAAGTGAATGTATAATATCTAAAGCTTAGAAATAGCCCATATGTGCAGTAATAGAAGAGTGGGTTATAGAATGTTGGGGCTCCGTGAAAATGGATTGCAAATAAATGGCTTAACTAGATGAATCACATGGAAAGAAAAGAACTTCATTGTATAATTTGTTCCTATAAAATTCAAGATCAGATAAAATTACTGCATTAAAAATTAGATTTATATGTTTCTTTGAGAAATACTTTCAAAGGTATACAAGGAAATATCTAGAGCCCTGCCAGTGGTTTTTTTTTTTTTTTTTCTTGACAGAACCTTGGTAACATAAGTGTGCTTATTTCACAAAACTGTACACTTCTGATTTGTGTACTTATGTGTGTGTACGTGTTTGTGGTATATATTGGTTAAAATCCTTAAAAATAAGTAACTTGTGAACCTAGGTTATAGAAATATTTTTCATGTTCCTAATACTATGACTAAGTCATCAATAGCCTGAATTTCACTTAAACACATCTCAATCTAGACTAGCCCCTTTCCAGTGTTTACTAGTCACGTGTGGTTAATGGTTGCCATTTTGATGGGCTGTATGACCCCATTGTTTTGCAGCTTCTCTTCGGTTAGATGTCTCAGGTATGCCCTTCAGTGTTAGATAAGAGTGGGAGACCGTCCCTTCTGGGGGCTCATCGTAATCTTATCCTACCTTCTTTGCTTTTATGGAAATTTTCCATTTGGAGCAGATGGTTGTTGTTGTTAGTTCATGAATGGCTAATATCATCTTGGTTATTTGTTCTTAATGCTTTATTACCATTCTTTTTGTGATCACCTCTTTCATTTTTTTTGAATAATTTAATTATATGCATGTCAGGGAGGAATAGGGATTACATGCACCTGAGTGTATGTGCCCACAGAGGCCATAGGAGGGCACCTGGTTCCCCAGTAGCTGGAATTATAGGTTGTTGGGAGTCACCTAATGTGGGTGCCAGAAGCCAAACTCAAGTCTTGTACAAGAGCAGTGTCCATTCTTAACCACTGAGCATCTCTTCAGCCTTGTGAGCCCCTCCTTTTTTGAAAACAACTTTTATTGAGCTAATCATACCTACATAAAAGGCACTATTGTAAGTGGATTGCTCAAGTAATTTTTATAAGATGAAAACACTTACTGTTTGTATTCAAGAAATAGAGAGACTAAATGTCTTGAAATAAATAAACACATTTGATCACTTATTTTAAAACAAAATGTCAAGAATATGCACTGGAGAAAGGACAGTCTCATTGATAGATGGTATGGAGACAACTGAAAAGAATTAAATTACTTAAATCCTGTCTCACACTGTATACAAAAGCCAACTTCAGATGGTCTAGATGCATACATCTAAGATGTGACACTACAAACCTATTAGAAGAAAACCTGAGAAAAGCTCTCCTGTGACCTTGCTCTGGGCAGCGACTTTCTGGAGGTGACAGATGCAGAAATGGAAAAATGACATTGTGTCAGTACAAGAAAGAAACAATTGTCAGAACAGAGAGAAATCTGTGAAATGGAAACTGTTTTTACACTGTGAGTGTGGTATGGGGTATCTTAGGGTTTCTATGCTGTGGTAAGACATGACCAAAAGCAATTTGGGATATAACGTTCATTTCATCCTAAACTTCCACATCATAGTCCATCCCCGAAAGAAGTCAGGGCAGGAACCTAGAGGCAGTAACAGAAGCACGGGGGGATGCTGCTTCCTGGCTTGCTCAGTCTGGTTTTTTTTTTGTTTGTTTGTTTTTGTTTTTGTTTTTTTTTAATACAACCCAGGACCACATGCCCATGCCTGCGCTAGCTGCTCCCACATCAGTCCTTAATCCAGAAAATGCCATGGAATTGCCTACAGGCCAATTTTACAAGGCGTTTTCTCTGTTATGATTCCCTCTTCCTAGATACCTAGTTTTGTGTCAAGTTGATAAAAACCAACCAGCATAAGGGGCTTCTATCCAAAATATGGAAATAACTCAAAACACAACTGCAAGGAAAAGAGTACAAAAATACAGACGACCACCAGGTATATAAAAGTGCTCAACACCACTAATTGTCAGAAATGAAAGGAAATCCTCCGGGGCATCATCCTGTTCCTAGAGGATGCTGTACATGAGACGCAGGACAAGTTTGAGAGAGGCAGGGAAAGGGTCTCCCTGCATTATAGGTGAATATAGAGTAAAGATTTTGTTTTGAATTATATATATGTATTTGTGTTCGGGTGGTATGCACATGTAAGAGGACAGATGCCCATGGAGGCTAGAAGAGGGCATAGGGTCTGCTGGAGCTGGAGTTGTGGGCAGTTGTAAGCTGTAAATTACAGGCAATTGACATGGGTGTTAGGAACCAAACTCCAGTCCTCTGCAGGAGCAGTACTCGATGCTGAGCCATCTCTCCATCCCTAAAATTAATTTTTCTATTCAGAGCAAAGCCCAGCAACCCTACTACTGTGCCAGAGACATGCCTGCACTCTTACGTCCTTTTCAGTGTTATTCACAGAAGTCAGTATATGGGACCAGTGCAAACGACAGCAACAATGAGCAAATAAAGAGCATTATTTATATTCACAGTGGAATACTTACTGTTCAGCCTTTAAAATCTTGTTGTTGCAACACTATAGATAAATCTGGAGGGCATCATTTGAAGTAAAATTAGCCAGGCACAGAAAGACAAATACTTCATGATTACAGTTATATATAAAATCTAAAGTGCTGAACTTGCAGGGGAAGAGAATAAAATGGTGGTTATCAGGGTTGGGAGTAGGGCAGGGGCGGTAGCCTGGTCAGGAAAACATTGATCAAGGTATATAACATTTCAAAGTGAATGGAACATTACCAGCAACCCAGGGCCTCCTGCCTTCCACTTACTCCCCACGTGGATTGTAACTCATAAAGCTTCTGTGACTGGGGTTATGCAGTGCTTGTCTTTATGAATCTAGCACAGTTTGTTGGGTCATGATCACAAAATTGACATAGGTGATGCCTGTTCTTCCTGATTTGCTGCACCATGGGAGCAAATGTGCCTGTTTTCCTCTTAATGAACACTTGGGTAGTTCTCCAATTGTCCTACTGCGATTGTGTTCACATCTGTGTTGGTTCGTACCAGAAGTGTGCCATAGTCTAACTCAGTAGGTAGATGTGGCCTGACAGTTTTATAGAATGGCCAGTAGCCAAAGTCTAGGCTGTTCCTCCTCCCCACAACCTTGGGTGTTTTCTCTTTTAGTCTAACTCAGTAGGTAGATGTGGCCTGACAGTTTTATAGAATGGCCAGCAGCCAAAGTCTAGGTCTCTTTGGTTTGGTTTTGATCATACTGGTGTCCATATTTTTCTAACTCACATGTACTCTGGATGTCTTTGATGAAATACTTGAAAAGCTCTTACCTGTTTCTCATTGTGTTGTCTGACTTTTCTTTATTGATTTTTTTTACTTATATATTCCAATAAAAAGTCTATTGCAAAGCTTGTGTTGTAGAAGTCATGCCCTGCTCTAGTGTCACTTTCCTTTAAATGACATGTTTGTTTCCTGATATTATTAAAATCCTATTTAATTAAAAATGCTTAAGTTTGTCTCTGGTGTTTCTTTGTGTCTGCCTCCAAGGTTGCAAATGTACTCACGTGTTTTCTCCTGGAAGTGTTTTGCCTTTCACACTTAGCCTCTTGTCTGCATGAAATTAGTATCTGTATGGTGCAAATGGTAGGCTAAGATACACTCGTTTCCATGTGGTCACCAGCTAACATGCAGGCACTGTGTCGTTCCCATTATAAAGCAATGACATTCATACAGAGTTCTAAGCTCCATGCTGTTCCATTACAGCCAACTTTACTGTTGTTGTTGTTAATATTGAAGCTAAGTGGTATATGGGTGACGTTCTTGAGACAGACATTCTAATTGAGTGCAGTTATTCAGACAAAGGAGGAAGCAGTATTAGGGAGTTTACACTCAAGTTGGAAGATGTCACATTAGTATGAGTGTGCAGGGTTTCAACCCTCACATGATGGTTTGGTTTTTTGTTTTCTTTTAATTTCACTTTTGTCAATAAGTGATGCTTCATATATTGCAATGCATATTAATGCTTTGTATATGTGTGTTCATGTGTTATAGCACATGTATTTTATAGTATCATGTTATATTCATAGTAAAATATAAAATTGACATTACACAGAAAGCATAAAATAGAAACTCTAGAAAGAAAATGATTTCTTCCTACCTTTGTATCATTTAAGGCAGGGTGGGGTTGTGACGTCAATAATTATCTGGTGGCTCAGTCAACGGTAGCTGGCTTCTCTTGTTCTGCATGTCCATTTTCTCTGTATTGTACTCAACTATGGCAGCAATATGACACAACAGCCACAGTCTGGACACCAGAACAAAGAGGAAAGAAAGGGGGTTAGCCCCTAAATCTTGACTGTAAGTGACATGGGTACTTCTGCCCACATTACTTTGGCCTAGACACACGGCATGTCCACATCTAATTGGAAAGGAGAATAATCCCTACTTTGTGCCCAGGAGGAGAACTGGGTATGTATTTTAGACAAATGATCACCTCCCACGTGATTGATTTTGGAGCACATGGCCCTTAATTTGTGTTTCTCTAAGAAAAATAAACACACAAAGACAAACACATTTTCTTTTCTCATCATATCATCTTGTTTCTAAACCTCTGAATAAAATTATTTTCAGTGTAGGCATGGAGGCCTTTCCTGTCGAAACCCTTCCATGGCCTCTCCCCTTTCACACGTCCATACCCACTGCAAGCTCCCCCCTTTCAGCTGCAGGTCTACTCCAGCCCACCTAGGATTCACAGAGCCTTGCAGTTTCCAAAGGGAGACATGTACTTCCTACTCACGATTGAATGTTTTTCTTTCCTTGTTTTTACCTGAGTTTTCTGTAACTTCTGGTCAGAAATTTCCTCTAAGAGACCCTCTCAGACTCTGGAGTAGGTGGATTCGTCTCCATTCACTTCTCTCATAACAATCTGTACTTTACTTCCAGGACAAATCGTTTTTGTTCAACCTATTTCTCCAGTTGCAGTATGAGCTTTAATGCTCTGCTCACCCCACTGTATGCTCTCCCTTGGGTCTAGCTCAGTTACTGGCATGTAAGTGCACATTAAATGCTATTTGGCTATATCTGTATATTTTATGTCTGTGACATTTATGCAGTCTGTACAGAATGTGTCCAGGTGTTTCGGGAGTCCACAGAGGACAGTTTGATCATGAGAAGTGAATCATGGAAACTGCAGATGCATTCATGCTACGCCTCTATGCCGTGGGGGCTAAGAGCTTCCAGATTAAGAATGCTTTTCCTCTTCTCTCTAAATTAAAATGCAGCAACCTAGATTTTCACTTTATTTAAGGGGTTTTCATGTTCTCTTTTATTGAGTAATGTTTTTTATGTTTAAGTTGAAAGCCCTAAAGTCAGGATATATATAACAATCAACATGAATAGCAGTTAAACTGCCCAAGCAATGGGGACATTATACTGTTACAGTCAATAAGCAAATAAACCCTATGATTCTAAGCTGTGTTTTCTCCTAGCTTTCTGGAGGTGGTGCTGAATTCCCAAAACATGGTGTGATTCAATTTTTGTAATAGTTTGCACCAGCAAAAGGGCATGTATGAGCTGTTTTGAAAAGCTGTGCTGCACAGGACTCCTTCACTGCATCTGTGCTGCACAGGGCTCCTTCACTGCGTCTGTGCTGCACAGGGCTCCTTCACTGCGTCTGTGCTGCACAGGGCTCCTTCACTGCGTCTGTGCTGCACAGGGCTCCTTCACTGCGTCTGTGCTGCACAGGGCTCCTTCACTGCGTCTGTGCTGCACAGGGCTCCTTCACTGCGTCTGTGCTGCACAGGGCTCCTTCACTGCGTCTGTGCTGCACAGGGCTCCTTCACTGCGTCTGTGCTGCACAGGGCTCCTTCACTGCGTCTGTGCTGCACAGGACTTCTTTGCTGCTTGGCTTCATTCCCATGTGTGTAGACAGCCTTCATCTTCTCTGTTCTTCCTTTCGGAAACAATAATAAAACTCACCACCTTTCTATCAGTGTCATCGTGGGCTGTCAATGCTATTCTTCACTTAAGATGCAAGTAGAGACCTAATAGTCTCTACACTGACGATCTTATGGTGGAGCAGATGGGATGGTGCAGACACCCTTATCTCTGTGCTCTCACTGTGTGCTCTGCATTCTTATTCCAGAAGAGAGCCACTCTTTAAATCCATATGAATGTGAAGTTACAAGGAGCATGGATGCAGATGATATTTGCAGAGCTCGTTGCTTATTCAATGGTACTATTGAGTAATAATTTTTAAGGTCTATTTTATGTTTAAATCCAGGGAAACTTAGAAAGAGATGGGAACTGTAGGTGAAATTTTAACATTTTATTCAAGTAGCAGCAGTAAGAGCTGAAGTGAATCTTCTGCTAGCTTCAGTTTCCTCAGTTAAAGAGAGGGGATGATAAAACACTCACTAACAGTGTTCATATATGGAAAAATTACACCATCCAAGCTCTCATTCCATGACTTAAAAGGGCCAGAGTGTGTTGGCTGCCATCTACTGCAGACTTTTGTCCTCCATTACCTATTCCTCTTTCCCTCCTGTTCTTCAACATTTTGTCATCACAGATACATTTTGATACCACATCTTTGCTTGCCACCAACTCTTTTTTTTTTTTAAACATCTTTTCAACTTCAGAAATCTTTGTTGTTTCTTGTGTCTGGTGAGCATTAATTTCCTATCTTCTGATTTGTTGCCGTTCTCATTGCTGTGACCAAAATGCCCAAAAGGAAGGAGAGATTTGACTGGTTCACAGTCTCAGAGGGGTCAGTCCACAGTAGTGTGGCTCCCTGTGGTTGGGGAGCATGTGAAGGAGAAAGTTGTTCACTTTGTTTTGGACAAGAAGCAGAGAAAGAGGGGGAGAAGACAAAGAGACAAGGAGAGACAGAGACTGAAGAGGATAGAGTAGGACAGCAAGTTACTCCAGTGATTGAATTCCTCAAGCTTAATCTCACTTCTAAGGGTTGCAATAGCACCAGTTGGGAGCAAGCTTTCCATACAGGAGCCTCTGGGAGACTGAATATTCAAAGCATAACACCCTCTGACCCTGACCTTCCTCACCTCCCTCTGACCCTGACAACCACCCACTATGTGACCGGTTATGTCAGACTCCTGCACTTTGCTGCCTTGGCTGTGCTCCTGCTCCTGACTGTGTTTTTTGTTGCAGACATCATTGCCTCTTCAGGTTGCCTACCCACAATCTGAAGGAGCAGTTGTCTCTGTGCGTTCTTCCCAGGCCAAGCATTTTAGTTCATATTCATCCCCCATTGGCATTTATTACTGTCAGTTACCAATGCTCATCTCTCACTAACTTGTGAGTTCCATGAGAGCAGAGAGCCCTGCCTTACTCACCATATATCACTCACTAGTATAAATCACTCGGTAAAAGTCACTAGTATATATCACTCAGTAAAAATATGTTAAAATTATATACTATGATATGCTGTAATTTTAATTTTAATGTGTTTGTATTTTTCTAGGTTCTTGGACTTGTCCAAAACATGAGTGTCTTCCAGTGTCCAAAATGTAAACACAAAACCCATATTTTTGGTGCTGATGGTGCAAGAAAATTAGCACAGACCCTTGATCTTGATGTTCTAGGTAAGAGCTTAGAATTCTCTTTCACAGGGGAAATTTAAAGAGAAATGGCAATGAAGTCTGGCATAGACTTAACATAAGTAGATGTTTGAGGCTTTGTGTTTTTGGAGTGTTAGTATAGTGCCACTGTATGCGACAAGCTCTGTCGGGCATCTGTGAATAGGCTTGTTCATGATACGGTTTCTATGACAGATTAAAAATTGCCTGTATATTCAGTTTGAGGAGAGAGATATGGTCTGGATACCATGGTTTGAAGCCATATTTTAAAGGAGGGTGGTGGTTAGCTTGGTTGTGACATTGGACATAGACGTTAATGTATAAGTAGGTGGGCATGGCCGTGTTCCCTCAGTGTGTTACAGCACAGCTTCTAAGAGTATGTTCCTGGACTGTGTGTAAGTGCCTTCATGAGACGTTCTTTGTCAGTCTTTCAGCTGCTGAATGACAAGATCTCCTTCCGATTACTGTGATAAGAAATTGCCATTTCTACAAAATATGGCACCTGAATTTTCATTGTAGATATTGTTTATTACACTGAATCCAAGAATTAAATAGTCTAGGAAGAAGGGGGAAAAATCATGTGATAAGTGAAAAAAACAACAACCCAGATTTTGGGTAAACCATGATTTTATAAAAAGTCTACAAGCAAGCTATGGATATTTAAGACAACATGCTTTTTTGTTGCAGTCCTGAATGAGCTCCTGTTCAGAGCACACACAAATGTTACCAGCTTCGGGTACTTGGAAATTAAGGTCCTTTAGAGATGAAGCAATTTCAAAATGTTCTCTATTTTGAGTTTCTGAAAGTTAATGCTAAATGCATTGTTGTTATTATTCATTGCTCTGTAGTTGCAACTACAATACCAGGGGAATGCTAATGATACATTTTGATACATTACTATAGTTATCGCCACTAATTATATTCTGAAACTGGTTTTCACTTAAATAACCTAGAAAGTTCAGTTTTCCAAATCTGCATAATAGTGTAACAGATTGACTTTCACTTAAGTAATAAAGTCAATGTGTAATTATAATGGCATTATTGAATTATGCTGGTAGTGCATTTCCCTAACGAGTGGGACAGTTTGGTAAGGCATTTATTTAAATATTGAAGACTCCCAGACACTGTCAGTTCTCTCTCAAGCAGCTGCTCACAAATGTATGATGACCTAAAAGGGTGTCAGAAGTAGTAGCTGCTGGATCCTGCTGTGGAAGAGCATCTCCACACTGTTACAGGAACAATAATTAGGAGTTCCCACTCATCTACTTAATGCAGTCAGGGAAGCCCAGGGAGAGCTCCTGGCAATGCAGGAGGTGGTCTGCTTATACAGAGATTGGGACTGGAGGTGAGGAAGTGAAGCCAGGGAGACCTTGCTCAGCTCAGGTTTTCTGCAGTTTAACATCCCCACCCTAGTTCATTTCTGACCTGTTGGGTTGATCATTTCTAAAAGAGCTCTTTGAGTTTTTGAAGTTAGATTTGTCAATGTGTTTGTGTCGTGTGTGTTGGGGTGTGGGGCGGTGGCACATGTGCCGTTGTGTTCGTGCGGAGGTCAGAGAACAACTTTCAGAAGTCAGTTTTCTCATTCCACGACGTGAGTCCCTGAAATTGAACTCAGGGCCAAGTGTTTTTGCTGACTGAGCTCTTTAGACATTTATCCATGTGAACCAAAAGGAATAGTTGATGTTCCGTAGTTAAGTCTCAGAGCATCCCAGTGAGAAGTCTGCCCACCATCTGGAATGTGCCCTGATTTCTTTCCAAGATGCCCTTTCTGCCCAGGCTGCTCCTTGGGCTTCATTTCCATCCTCACTGTGTCCTCCCATGGTCTTCTGTGTCTGTGTGGCGTGGTAGGTCTCTGGAGGGCAAGTACAATGTCAGGAGGTGACTGAAATACAGGGTTGGCCTGTCTTATTCCATTCCTGCAGCAGAAAGAAGCCCTCCAGGTTTCCTTGCTCTTCATAAATCAAGATAAAAACTTTCTGGGTTTCTAAGCTCTTTATATAACATTTGCCTGCCTGTTCCGGGAGAATCTCCTACAGTCTTAAATTGACCTGTAGAAGGGACATCAGATTTGCTGCAGAGCTAATCCTTAAATGAAATAATCATATATTTTGTCATTTGACTGTTGGATATTTTATCTGTCAGTATTCTCTAAATTTTCTAAAGGAACAGAACTCTGTATGAGGGAGAGAGAGACAGAGACAGACAGACAGACAGAGAGAGAGAGAGAGAGAGAGAGAGAGAGAGAGAGAGAGAGAGAGAGAGAGAGAGAGAGAAAGAGAGAGAGAATGGGAATGTATATACTTTATTAGAGTGGGTTACAGTCTACAGTCTGGCTGGCTGTTCCAATAATGGCTTTCTCTCTTATCTGGTGCAAATGGCTAAGAATCTAGTAGTTGTTCAATTGACAAGGCTTGATCTCTCATTTGGTATTCAATCCTGTTGGAATCCTGAAGAAGTAGGTTCTAATACCAGCAAAGGAATGTTCCAGCAACAGGATAGATGAACTTGCCAGCAAGAGTGAAGGGAAGCGGACAAAAAAAAAAAAAAAAAAAAGCTTCCTTCTTCCATACCCTTTTATGTGGGCTGCCACCAGAAGGTGTGGCCAGATTTAGGTTGGGTCTTTCCACCTCAGATGATCCAGGCTAGCAAATCTCTCTCAGGTGTGTCTAGCTGCTTGGGTTTTAGTCAGTTACAAATGTTGTCAAGTTGACAATCAAGATTAGCATCATGGATATTTAGAAAGCTTGAAGATTGTATGAGCATAGTACACCAATATCCATGTGTGAAAATGGTATAATGAAACCCATTTTGTGCACTAACCAAAAAACATAAAAATAACTGGAACAAAAAAATGCAATTGCAAAGTTGGCTGATAATAGCAGCCTGAAATACCTGTCCCTCCGCCATACTATGTCGGAAAAATTACAATATTTTGTGACATAGATGTCTACATTGTTTATATTTCTTGGCAGGGTACTGTGTGAGATATTGACATAAAATGGAAATTTACACACATGTTTCTGTAACCTTTGCAGGGGTTTGTGGTACTTCTGAGACACACAACAAGGCAGTTTTACTTATGACTCCCTCTACTGCATTTTAGTCCTCAGTCTTCAGGTGACTGGGTCAAAGCATTCTGCTCTCCCACCTCTGGGTACAGCCTTGTCAGATGTACACAGCTGTCCATGCCAATCTGTGTACAGCCAGTGCTTCCCAAGAACACACCAGACTCACAAGTTACATGTCATGCTACATGGTTAGTAGATAGAAAAAAAAAGTGTCTCAAAAATAAATTGATATGGGATATATATCTGACTTACTTTTTAAATGTTCTTATTACACTTTTTCTATGTTTGTGTATATGTATATTGGTTGGCACATATGTGGAGAATCAACTTCAAATTACATTGTGTTGGTCCTGGGGAATCTACCTTGAGTCATCAGGTTTGGGAGCAAGCACCTTTACCTGCTGAGCCATCTTGCCAGTCCCTGCTTTATTTTATAAAATTCACTGACATATCTGGCAACATCACGAAGAACCTTTGATGCCTTTTGGGGACTACTTTGCCTCTGAATCTTTTGCTCATTCATCTCCTCCTTGGCATGCAACACAGTATGTCTGCAACAGCTACTACAGGGGAATGCCCTCTGAGCTATTCCTTGCCTGGAGGTCTTCAGCAAAGAACAAGTCAGATGCCTCATTTCTTGGTTGGTTGCCCCAGAGCTTGTACCTATCTATATGCATGCATAGTCACTCAACTGCCTTCAGTGGAATTTTTCACCCTCACTTTGCATTTGAAATTCCTATTATAGGCATTTAACAGATTGAGGGGTAGACATAATTCCACTTAGTCTGAGAGCCTTTAGTTCAGATTTTATTTCTTTCCAAAGTTGGAGCAGTGAGATTTCGAATGCCTGTGTAAGCTTCTCTGGCACTAATGTTTTCCCATGGTCTTTTCCAGGAGATGTCCCCTTACACCTCAGTATAAGGGAAGCTTCAGATAAGGGTCAGCCTGTGGTGTTTTCACAGCCTGAAAGTGAGGAGGTAAGTTATTTTTTGTATGTCTTTCTTTTTGTGCACTGTATTCTTTGTGATGTACAGAAAGAAAGTAGGGAGATTGGGTTAAACTTGCTTGTGCACAGGCCATATACGTAGACTTGAAGTCACTCACCGTGTCATGCGCTAGGCTGCAGTTGTGGATTCCAAACTCCCAGTTCAGGCAGCAGACAGTTGGCCTCCTCCCAGCATTTTCTCATGAAGAACCCATGTTGAGAACTTGCTGGCTGGCAACTGCTAACTGCTCCAGAGTGTGACACTTCAGCATTGCACCTTCAGCTGGTTGCTGAGAGAAGGGAACCTGATGTGAGAAAGCCAGGTACATTTGGTATCCAATCAGGGATGAGATTTTTGCTGTGTTTATTTCAAGGAATATGATCAGCAGCAAGGCAGAAAACCTAGTAGTGTTTCCTTAGCCAGCATCCTGGTAGAGTTTCTAAGTTGCCAAAATATGAATTTTTTAAGGATAAACATTTTATTATAATGTTTTTTTTTTTTTGAAAAATAGACATGAAGTCAGTCATGGATATATCTTCTTTCCCGCTTAGTCCTTGCTGGTTAAGTTGGAAGCTCAATTATCTGTGTGTCAGTTTGGATGTGGTTTTTGTGCCCCTTCACCAACACCACAGTCTTCCTCTCCAGCCCTGCCTTAGTGGATGGGCTCTTCCTCTCCATCCTGTCCCCCGACTCCAGCCCTGCCTTAGCGGATGGGCTCTTCCTGTCCACTCATGACAACGAGCCTGTTCATTCTTGTTCACTCCTCTGAACAAGAATGTGTAAGAACCAAGCCTGGTTAATGCCATGAATAAAGCGAGAGTAGATTTGACCTAGAATCATGAATGAACTCTAATTCACTTAGAGTTACCCTTTGGTGGGTGCAGAGCGCTGTTCCCTGGCTTGAGTGTCAGCCGATGTGGTGCAGCTGCTGGAGTGTGACCTTTGAGTAAATACAATATGGCACTTATCATTGTTTTCCTTTTCTCTGCCTTTCGGGTGTTAAATTTCCTTTCTACGTTTTCCTTAAAGAATTTTCAGATAAGCAAAACCGTAAATCTCTATTGCTCTCAGTTTGAAATGAGGATTTTTTTTTAAATTACGCACATTAAAATGACTTCCAGGAGCAGAATATTTAAAGGTAGTCTATGGTGATTCCTTACAAATAATAGTATTTACTATTAATTTCAATTATGAGTTGAGATTTTAAGGTATTCCTATCTGTTCACTATTGCTTCCCCACCCCCCGCCTTTTACAATACTCCAAAAATAAGAAGTGATGTGTTGAGTTAGAAGAATATTATTTAACAGAGAACATATAACAAATCATCCAAGGATAATACAGTTCTAAATGCTAAGCAGTTGAATTTGTGGTATCTTTGGAGTTAGTGTTTCTGTGGCCTGATCTACATGTGTGCTCACTGGGTCTTACTGTTCCTAGGTGACAGTGCTGAGGGTCCTAAAACAACCTCAGTCTTTGGAGCTACGTTAGTTTTGGTTAAGTTTCTTCAAAAAATGATAAAAAGTCTCATGCATTCATTGTCAATGTTAAATATGAAGGCTTCTAGTCAGTTTTAAGTAGAAATGCCATGACTAGGGAAGTATGTAGTGAGTGCCTGGTTCCTTGTTCTCCATCATGGAAACAATTACTTCTGTTCTGGGGTTGCAGTCGTCGTCATTGTCATTATTGGTCATATTCTAATAGTAGCAGTTGGAGGACCAGATACCAGTCAGGCTTTTATACACGATTTCTGTCCTTCTAACAACTCAGTGTGCTATGTAGGGAATCCCCCTATTGCAGATGAGGAAACTGAACTCAAGGAAGATGAATCATTTCCCAGGACTGTCACAGAGCTAGCAAATTGTGAAATAGTAAGAAGCCAGTCTCTTCTTTTCAGTCAGACCCTTTATGTTTCATCATCCTCTGGCTCTCATATTAATACTCTGACTTCTTTCATTTCTTCTAAGATACTGGCACAATGTTAAGTACATTCCTCCCCTTTCTTACCTGATTCCCATAGCATCCTTGTGAACAGATTCAATCTCCTTACCCCCTAGGCAGGAGTTTGTTTGGAAGTTTGTCCGGTCTAGTACTAGAAGGCACTTGCACACTCAGCTGATATACCCATGCTTTGGCTTCCGGGTCACCTCTTTTGCATACAGCACAGAGCTCTGGGGACAGGCTGAGGAGAATCTGCCCCTCAGGTTCTGCTGACAAGGACAGCCATGGCACAGGGCATGGGATCCTATCCTGCTCAGAGGGTCCCTGGAAATCTTGTCCAGAATGTATCAAAGTGCATTTTTTCTGGGAAACTGCCCAAGAGCCATGTTAAGAGTCACAAAGGGGATATCTGAAGGGATGGAAAAATAGCATCAGAGTCCTTGTGGAGTGATTGCCAAGCTTACTACTATCTAAGTGGGACCCCAAAAGCTCTCCCTCCACTCTTGAAGCTTTCTCCCCATCTATATAGTGATGCCATGTGTGTGTGTGGCGGGGGGTTAAATGAGGTATATGACACTGCACTGGAAGATGCCAAATATATCAAAGCTGCCCTTCCCGCCTTTAGTAACTTGCTGTCTAAGGTGTCCTAGCCACCAGATGCCTGTCCTCTCCCCTGATTAAAGGGCTAGGTCCATGTATTCCTAACATGGGATCAAGGAAATGATCCCTAACAGCATCAAGGAAATGTTACTCTGATGGCCTAAAGTTCAGAGTAGCAGGATTTGAGTCATGAAGGTGGGTTCCCAGCTTGAGCATTAATGATAACTTGTCTTGATTTAAAAGACTGTAACTGAGTCCTGGAATCTGCCTCTACCTAACATGCATCTTGCCTCCTGATAACTCTCTTTATCCCCACAACACAAGTAAGTTTGCTCTGGAAGTTTAACTCTCCAGTGGTGTTTCACTTTCAGGGGAGATGAACACTACACAGTGGTGACCCAGTTAGAGGTGTGGGTTCTGGTGAATTTGAGGCATCATTTGAGAAGTTGGGAGGGCTGTGACACCAGTTAAGAAGAGCTAATGGTTGCTACCTACCCGTGAATGGGCCCAAATTTCTGTCATGGCATCAGTCAGAAAAGAAGAATCAGTGAAACACAAAATGATGTAACAGCCAGAGAATGCAGAAGAGGAAGGGCAGATGCTGGCTGCTTTGAATCCAGCTCTTAAATGTCATAGCATTGCCTCATGCTGGCAGAACTCTAACTGACCTTTGCCTTTGTGGAGACCAGTACACATGGAATGGACCGATGACAGGTGATTTGTATGGTCTTATCATTTGTATCAGATAAAAAATTAGCACACAGAATGATATCCTCTTAAAGATATTCTTGGTGAAGATTTTCAAATATAAATAGAAGATTTATTATCATATAATTTCTAGATCATCTCCCCACTGCCTTAATATGAACAAAATATGATAAACCAACTACAACTATTCCAAAGCAAAAATGAAACTAACTTCCATACAATTTCTTTCACTCTGTTCCCATTTGTTCCCAATTGCCTGCTAGTGACAGTGCAGACAGAATTCCTTTAGATGGCCTAGTAGACAGATCTGCAGTAGTAGCAGGGAATTAGTGAATGGATAGTAGTAACAGCTTGAGAAATCTCAATTGTATATTTTATATAGATGTATTTGTGGCATTTATGCTGGATGGCAGAAACAGGAATTTCATTATTCCTCAGGAAGAAATGTTCTCCAAAAATATCCACATGAGCTACTCAGTGAGACTATAGCTCTCTCTCTCTCTCTCTCTCTCTCTCTCTCTCTCTCGCTCTGTCTCTCTCGTTCTCGCTCTCTCTCGTTCTCGCTCCTCTCTCTCTCTCTCTCTCTCTCTCTCTCTCTCTCTCTGTCTCTCTCGTTCTCGCTCTCTCTCTCTCGTTCTCGCTCTCTCGCTCTCTCGCTCTTTCCTCTCTCTCATTTTTTGGCATTTTGAGAGTTTTGTGTAGCCCAGTCTGGCTTTGAACTCACTGTAGCTGAGGATGATTCTCATACTTCTACCTCCCAACCACTGGGATTACAGGCGTGTGCCACCATGCCTGGCCAGGCTGCCCATTTCTTAGTGGCCACGTAAGCTGTACACACTCTGAGCCAGCACTTTACATGGCTTCTCATAACCCTGGAATGTGTGCTGGTCCCACAGACATCTTACAGCTATATAAACACCCTAGGAGGGATTTGTTACTAGTCCCAGGTCCTTCAGCTAATCAGTCATGACACCAGGCCTTCCATCCCAGCCTGTGTGACTCCAGGGCCGCAGTTCCACTCTCACGAACTGTTCTCCTCCTTCTAAAATCATTACATCCCACAGATTTCCCAGCACAGGGCTTCACATGCAGCAAGGACCAAAGTGGATTTGTTGAAATGATACAGCACTTCCTGAAAAAAAAAAATCACAACTGTTCAACTCAGCACTTTCAGGGGCTCCATAGCGAATGCCAATCTAACCATTACCTTGAATGTGATACACTGGGGGTCTAATCTCCATTAAAGAGCAAAGGCTGAGTATGACAAATTTAATTATTCTGGAATCATCCAGAAGGTTTTGTGTTATGGTAGGTTTATGTCTCTAATTTAACATAGGCAAGTGCTAAATGATTATGGAACCAAGTCCTTGATCCAGCTGTTAGGACTCAGGCATAAATAAAGATGCTGAGATATGTTTCATTCAGCAGATGCCAGGACTTCTCCATAGTGTGCCTCACTGTAGGCCAGGACCTTGAGGCTGACTACTTTGGTTCAAAGTCCAACTTGTTACCAAGTAGCCATAATGTTTTAGACAGTCTTCACTTTTCTAGGTCATGGTTTCCTCATCTGTAAAGTGAAGATGACTAGAGAATTTATTCCCTGAGATAACTATAAGGTTATGAAATAGCTGACAAATAGGAAGTTGGATAGTTTTTAATAATAGCAGTAGTGTGGTTATAACTATATTAATAAAAATTTGTGCTTTTACAAAATCTTAGTATGGGTAGGGTGATTCACACTTGGGAGGCTGAGGCAGGAGGATTATAAATTTAAGGCTAGTATGGACTACATGGTGAAACCCTGTCTCAAAAGATAAAGAAAAGCCTCACTGTTTCATAGTTACTGTTTATGGATACTTTTTATAAGTATCTGCATTGCCTTTGTCTGAGTGAATTCTTTAAAGTCAGATCATATGGTCATTGTAACCAGACAAAGGGCACTGTGTTAGCCTGTGTCTTTGGATCCACTCTTAGAAATACATCCTGCTGGGGATCCCAGAGATGAGGTATGTGACATTTGAACCAGGAATCTTTGCACAATTCCCAAATTCACCTGGAAAAGAGATGTCTTGTGCTCTGGTCTGGGGAGAGTGAGGAAAATGACTCCAAAGAGAGAACATAGGTGCTAAGAAGTAGCTCTCTTTCAATTGGCTAATTCCTTTTATGCCAAACAAGAGTTGGCAGTATCGAATTTAGGATTTTTCTGAGGAGGAGGGAGGGTTTAATTTTTCTGCAACTCATCTAGGTTGTTAATTTACTAACATTAGAATTAGGATTTGAAATATAGCTATTGCTGGCATTGATTTCTTTCAGAAAGTCACCTTCTAAGTATTTGCTCTCAAATACTGTGAGCCCCTTTCTCCAGTAGCCCACCTGCAGTGTACCCTCACTGTCCGACTCTGCAGCCCAGACTGCTGCTTTACCATCAGCTACAGCTGCAGCCATCTGTGACACACAGTTCAGGAGTCATTCCGTGTCTGCTGGGAAACATAGAACAATTAGTCTGTTCTTTTCCAGGCCAAAGCTTACCTGCACATTGCTTCAGAAGTGGTAAGAAGATTGCAACCACCTCCAGAATGATGCCCAAGTGCCCTGGAAATTGTCCTGGTATTTGATAATCACAGACTGTCAAAAGTGAGCATTGTGGTAGTGTGTGGAACCCACGAAAATGATGACAGTCATGATTATTTTCTTTCATTTTTAAAGAAATGTCTCATTTTCAGATTTGATTTGACAGCCCATGACACACAAATAAAGTTTGTATGTATCTATGCTGACTGCTGTATTTGGGGTTAGAAAACCAGTTTGTCAGCTTCACTAAACGTTTGTTTATTCAGTCACCTCTTGAAGAACTGTGACCTCCACGATGCTACACTCCCAGGTTTGAAGAGAAATGCACTTTCCTGCTGAGATCAATGAGTCGCTCCAACTGATTCCTAAGTGTGTCTGGATGGAAATGAAGCACCTTGCCGCCAGGCAGTTTGGTTCAGGTTTGGGTCTTGCCTGTAGTCCTGTCTTAAACTTGTTCTTCATGGAAAGGACTTTTGCTTCATGTGGCCCAGACTGGCCCAGACTTGATGAATCTGAATCTCTAGGATGAGGCCAGGGCATTGATAATAATTTTGATTATGATAGTGTTTTAGTCACTGTTCTATTACAGTGAAGAGACACCGTTACCGTGGCAGCTCTTATGAAAGAAAGCATTTAACTGGGACTTGCTAACATTTCAAAGGTTTAGTCCATTATCAGCATGGCGGGAAGCATGACGGTAAGCAGGTGAGGTAGCCATGGTGCTGGAGAGGTAGCTGAGACTTCTACGTCTGGATCATCAGGCAGCAAGAATAGAGAGACACTGGGCCTGGTTTGAGCATTTGAAGCCTCAAAGCCCACCCCCAGTGACACACTTCCTCCAACAACGTCACACTTCCTAATCCCTGTCATGTAACACCACTCCCTAATAACTAAGCATTCAAAGATATGAACCTATGAAAGCCATTCCTATTGAAACAACCACGGATAATAATTATGATAATAAAAATAACTTTTGTCAAGTGATTTCTATAGCCTTAGACTTTTTCATTCATACCAGTGGACACTGTTCATTTTATGAATGAGGGATGGACATCTGGGAAAGGTAAGTGCCTTTTTGTTGGTAGGTTCCTATTTCTAGCAGATGATGAAGCTGGCATTCAGCCACTTTTGCAGTTTGCTGCTAGAGTCCTCCCTTGTACAACATTAAGCATATTCTGATTGTAAAAGAGAGGCTTAGCATTCACTGTAGGCATGATATCGCAACCCCCTCCTTAGGAGTATTTCATGGTATTTGTTTTTCCAAGAATATACTTTGGAAACATGTGTCTTGTCTAATTGAAACACAGATAGAGAGCCAAAGACATCCCAAGGTCAGAGAGCTGTAAAGCTGCAAGTACCGATAAGAGCCCAGGAGTGCATCCTTGGTTTATGGTCAGCTATACAGAAGTGGTCTTGGCCCTTTGGCAAATCCTATGATGTCCTGTGGTGCTCTCTTTAATTGGCAGCTAGAAAGTTAATCAAAGGGCAAATATACTGTCAAACAACTACATGGACATTTCTAGCACCTTATATGGAAGAGCCAAAAAGTCAGGTTTTTGCAATGAGCAAATGATTACGTGGTTATAAAACATCTATACCATGATAGTACTCCACAGTTGAAAATGAGAAAACTGAGGATTCATGCAACAGTCTCATTAAGGTGGTGAAACATATGGTCTACTTGTGAGTGCTTTTGAAATGAAAAGGCTAATAGATTACCTTTAGCCATGTAAGGAAAGGGTAGAGATAGGAAATTGAGTTACTATAAAAGAACAGCATGAATAATCCTAGTGATTATTTCCCCACTGCAGTTCTAGAGGTGGAATGTAGGGTTTCATACATGCTAGGCAAGTACTCTACCACTGAACTACATTTCTATCCCCCTGTTTACTTTTTATTTTTGAGACAAGCTCTCACAAAGTCTCCAGGCTGATGTCGAACATGCTGTGTAAGCCAGGCTGGCCTTGAATTTATGATATCCTACCTCAGTCTACTGCATATCTGAGATTACAGGCCTGAGCCACCAGGCCTGGATGATGGAAGGCTACTCCTTTATGGTTTTTATTGCTTTGTTGTGATTTCAAGTTTTTACTACAGTTGAGTTACAGGCACATGGCATCTATGTTTTGCTTCTTTATTTTATTTTATTTTTTTTATTTTTCGAGACAGGGTTTCTCTGTGGTTTTGGAGGCTGTCCTGGAACTAGCTCTTGTAGACCAGGCTGGTCTCAAACTCACAGAGATCCGCCTGCCTCTGCCTCCCGAGTGCTGGGATTAAAGGTGTGCGCCACCAACGCCCGGCTTCTGTTTTGCTTCTTAAAATTGCATGTAAATCTGTATCTCAAAAAGAGTAAAAATTGAATGAAATCTGTATATAAGATGAAATGTTTGGATCAAGTTATCCATACTAACTCTTGAAGGAAAATCTTCATGAACACACAGTAATCATTACTCATCACTGAAAGGATAGTAAAGGCCTAAAATTTGTGTCTTATTGTCTGTCTAGTAAGGAGGCACTATAGAAGGCCATAGAGCTCGTGTAAATACTGAAAAGCAACTATTGAAACCGAACTTCACTTTAGAAAAGAAGACAGGTGTAGGCGTCAAGGGTGCTTTACTCTGTGCCCTTGTGATTGAACACACCTACTGGGGAAGTGAGAGGGACTTCCCTCAACATCTGTGATGTTGAGAAGGCCAGCACATACCATCTCCTGCTTCCTTGTCCTTCACTCTGTGATGTCTACAGATGCTTCAAGGAAATGCTGCTGCAAAGAAGCACAGCTTTGAGCTTAGATAGCTGCAGAAGGGGGGAAGACCGGAAGCGGAAGTGGAAATCCAGGAAGTGAGCCAATCTGAAAATTTCCCTCTGGCTAGTTAAGATCCAAAGAGCTGTCATCAGAGGACTGTCAACGGAGGACTTCAGAGTGTGCTACTCTGCCTGTTGGAAAAAGTGGATAGTTAGACCTATCTGTCACATTTTCTTGGGTGTAGAGAATTAACATTTCACTGTCCAGGAGGAAAAATAAACTCCCTCACTACCCATTCCAGGAAAGAAAAGGTGACCCAACTTCTGGGAAAACCTCTTCCCCAAACCTCTGTAGTTCTTTTTCTTGAGATTTCTAAGGTAGGTCACAGGGAAATCCAAAGTTCTCTGCCAATGCTTTGGTGGGTTTTTTGTTTGGTTTTGGTTTTGGTTTTTAAGATAAGGTCTTTCTATGCAGCCTGGGATAGTCTTGAACTCTTGACCCTACCTCAGGCATCCAGGTGCTGGGATTTCAGATGTGTACCCACTCTTGGCTCTGCCTTGCCCTTGAGTGGGTGCATCCTGCTAACTTGAACTTATGGAGTTGGTGGCTTACTGTGGTCACATGTCCTCTAAGGTAAGTTTGTGCTGACCCTACAGCGTTTGCCTCCATCTGATGTTTTGTTTTTTTTCTCAGTTCCAAACAAGGAAATAATCCCCAAGCTCCTACTTTGTTTGAAGAAAACAAAACCCTGTGTGTGGCTCCTGGAACATAAAACTGTCTGCATGTAGAGTCCAGGTAGCCTTGTCACTCTACTCAAGCATTTCCACTGAAAAGTGACTTCACCAATGGTCAGAGATTTTGAAAAGAAGATTTGTTCATTTATTTAGTGCACTCATGGACCGTATGTGTGTTTGTGTGTGTATGTATGCTGGCATGTACATACACATTCCCAGGTAAAGGACAACTCGTGGAAATCAGTTTTCTCCTTCCAGTGTTAGGGTTTCAGGGATCAGCTTGAGGTTGTCAGGGTTGGTGGAAAATGCCTGTACCCACTGAGCCAACTCACTGTCTCAGATGCTTTTTGAAGGGACTGGAGGGGACTGTCATGAAATTAATACATACATATAAAGCACTGAAGATGGATATCTGAATTGGTTCAATGATAACTCCAGATCCTGCCATCTGAACTTTCCTAGATAATTTCTTGGTATCTGTGCAAGTTGAATTGTTTATTTAATAAGAACGGAACTATTGGTAGTTGTTAACTGATATATCATTGGCTTTTAGTTTGAAATTTCCAAAATACAAATGTGTTTGAACAACTGTATATATAGATGCTGGCTAACTGAGTAGTTTCTTTTATGTAGAACCTTGCCACCCTTTTTGCCTGTTTTGTTGTGAAGGGACCAGCTCCCCATTTCGGCAGCCATAACAGCCCAACACGTGCTTGCTTGACCTTGTCTTGGTCACTAGGAGGTCAGATGCCTGCCTTGTGGCAAGGAACCAATCAGAAGTTAGCTGGTGGTGCTATGCTTT